AATCCTTTGAAATGAAAAAAGAAAACATTATGTGCATAGAATGAAGACCTGCAGAGAATTTCAAGTTATTTTTGATTCTTGTTTATTGAATATCTCCTAATAAAAAGTCATGTTATAGAGATGAAAATATCATTCGATTTGAATGTATTTGGTCCAAGATCGATTTTTGAGGAGGGAGAGTCTAAGTATAACGAGATGGAATCTATTTGATTTATTCAATTTCATAAAAGAAATGATAAAGCAATTCTATTCGCAACAAATTTGAATGAGGCATATTATTCAGTTGAATATAAATCTAAACATTGTAATTTCTCATTTAATTGATATCATTCTCAAAGAATTCTTTATTAATTTCATTTACTGTAGAGATTATTCATAAAACAAAAGGAAAAACATTGGTAAAGCAAGAATTTTCAAAGGAATAGAAAGATATAATTGAATCAAAGCAGAAAATATCGATACGAATACAGTAATAAAAAACAAGGTAAATTTCGCAGAAAATTCTCAAAGGAAATAAAAAAAAAGTACGAGTTTTGATTGTAACAAATACATTCATTCTGTTTCTTTGCATTGATGTGATCTCTACTATATATTTTTTTTTCGTTTTTGAACTTATGAAAAACGAAGAGTTTTCAATAAATAAAGGAAAATCATTCACTCAGTTGTATTTTAAAATATATCAAATTTTAATGATAAATACTGATACATTATAATAAGATCGATTCTAATTGATCAACAATCTATACCTTGAGATTTGCTTCATGCACAATCTAATTTTATTGTTTCATTTAAGAAAAAAATAACCTTCAAATTGTCTTAATATAAATTCCTATTTCTATTTCGATTAGTGAAATTATTTATTAATTAGAAGAATTCTGATGAACATAATATCATTATATTTATAAAATATCTTATACTCGCTTGTTTTGGTGTTAATATAAATTATTTTTTACGAAATAATATAAGCGACTATGAACATAAATTTATTTGTATATTATTTAATTTTTTGTTAAATATATTTAAACGATTTCGAATTACAAAAAAAATATATGAACACAAAAGTTCATAAATTAATTTGTTTGTATGATTTGACATTATGTTTGCAATTTTACAACAACAACAATAGTAACAATAATAGCTACCATAATAAGAAATGGTATCCAAGAACGAAGAAAACCAGGAAAACTATATAAAAAAAATAATAATATAAACACAAATGAAAAAAAAGAAATAAATGTTTTATATTTAAATACTTGACATATTTTCCACAGAAAAACATCCAAAATACAACTGAAACCATATTATATGTATATTTTCGATCATAACCCATTGTATTTAATGCCATGGCTACATGTGAATGACAATTATCACAACATAAATTATGCTAAAACAACAGAAAAAAAAATCTGACATAAAAAAAAAGAAAAATCTAATAAATTACCATGCGTTTTTTATATTCATCTGATGCTTGTTCAACAGCTTTATCCCAAAGAGCTCGTACATTATTTGAATTACTTGTTGTTGGAACACGATTTAAATTAAGCTGAAGATATCGTGTTGGTAAACCAAAAGCCATATCATCTTCCTATATATTTAATTGATTATATGAATTTCAAAAAAACAAAAACAAATTTTATGATTATTACTAACTGAAACATAATAAGGTCCAGCAAAATCTCGAATAACACCATCTGTACGAGCAATACCCATATGACCAACAAATGGAAAAAGCCAAGTTAGAACTGGTATTGGTGTCCAAACAAGACAATGAGGATATCGAACACGAGCAACATCAATTCGATCGTTTAAATTATTTGATAAAAAATTATCATCAACCATTTGTGTTTGTTTTTGTTTCGAAAAATCTTCAGTAGGAATTACAGTTGTTGTTGTTATTTTAGTTTCTTCACCAGATACTATATTCATTGACAAAATCAAAGACAATAAGAAAGTTCTTTTTCTAGAAACTAAAATAAAACATCAATTTGACGATTTCACATATATATATCTGATTATTTCTTGTCATACAATTCAATTGTAACGCTCCATTCATAATACAACTCATATCAATCAAGGCTTCATAGATTAATAAATGAAAAGATGTCGCTGATAAACAGTGTAACATTTCAAAAAATGGCTCTATTTCGTCGAAATCGACTCCATTTTGATTATTAATTGCCATATCAAAAAAAAACTAATGACTAATCGCGATTTATTTTATTGGTACGATAATAAAAGAGGTGTTGTATATTCGCCGAGACATAGTCGTAACATTGAACCAAACATTTCAATCGTAAATGTCGTATGGAAAATTACTTTTGAAAGTGATTTCATCGCGATATAATCGACGATTTTGATCACATGAAATTTCATTGATTTCAACTTCTGTGATCCAAATCGACATTATCTACCTGTTACTGCCAGTTTACCGTAGTAATCCGCCGAGTTTTTTTTGTTTGATCCATATTCTATCAGTATACATTGACTTCCTGAGATTCATCTACACTATCGTTAATTTTCGATAATATTCTATTGAATTTTTGAGCATTTTTACATAAAAAAATTTCTACGAAAAAACTGAACAAATAGTTTTAGCGAGAAGGTATAATAAAAAACTATTATTCATTTCAAAAAAGAATGGACTCGGTTATTTGTTGGATAATTCAGCAATGCTGATAGCTATCGAGTTCGCGAAATTTCGTAATTTCATTTTCCGATAGATACCTACGAAAGGGTTGAAAACGCCGGAAAATCTCGAGGTTTATGAAGTAGATGTTGGGCTACAATATGGCTGAATTGATATAGAAAATACGGCTAATCAAGCGGATCAGATAGTGATTTTTTAAAAAATCCCTGGAATCTCCTAGAAAATTTTTCGAGTGTTTTCATTCTCAGGTAGACTTGTACTTTCACTCATGCTCTTTCTAACGACGAGAATCCGAGCTTGATAACTATAAGCGTCGCCGATATATTCAACAAATAATCGAGTCTATTCTTTTTTTTGGAACGGATAATAGTTCATTAACACGTTTTCATGGCAATTTTTGCGTCAAGTAATTAGATGTTTTGAATAAAAATCATAAGAAAATAGACTCTAAAAGTAGAAAAAAAAACATAACCTACCAGTGATATTCATCCGTACTATAAAACCTAAGCAAATGTATCATATAAATTATCAAAGAATAAAAAATTTTTAAATACAACAACTCAATTGCTGAATAGAGATCAGAATATATACAATTAATAATTGATATCAATAGCTTTAAATATTCTTACAACATATCAATATTTTAGACAAGATCATTTTATACTCTACTCATCTATTCTACAATCAGAATAGAGAACAACACAAAATAACGGCTGATCGAAATTATAGAAAAACCTTTTAGCTAATGAAACATTTTCTTTTTTGCAGTATCAATTACCAGAAAATCTATTTCTTTGTTTTCGATGTATATTTGTGATTTTTATAACTTTTGTATTGGGAAAAAAGTATAGTCTTCAATCGAAGTCATATTATTATCCTGTTTACCTACAGAACCATCGATTAACAGCAGTTGACCGAATGTATTCACGAAATCGTTATAAATCGGTGGTTTCTTTAAAAAAATAACGACATGAGATTTTAATTCTTTAATAATATTGTACATTCTTGAACATAAGAATAATAAACTGATTTCAATTATATTCTCAACCATCGACATACTCGATTATGATAATATAAAAGTTGTTAATCTTCTAAGAGATTTTGTAGTTCTTTATAAAAAAAGAAAAAGAAAAGTAATATAAACTTCTGAAAAAATATTGAGACAAATGTTTTATTAATAAAGATCAGAGTAAGCAGGAAGCCGATAAGTGATAAAATTGGATCGTTCTCCAAATTGAGTTTCTTATTCTTCAAATAGTCAATTCAGATACTAGGAGTCGATTGCCATTCGAACTAATTAGCTAATCCTCATTCCAACTGACCACGGCTGATATAAAACTCAATATTATCTATCTCTGATAGGATCATCGTACATAACTTCCATATGAAAAGTTTTTCTTCTATTTTTCGCTCTTGTAACTTGAGTCATACACCAAATGAAAGCTAATTCTTGTCGCTATCGAGCAGTATGCAAGAGTGTAACAAAATATTCTTCTTTCTCTTTTTTTCTTTAGGTGGTACTTTTCACTTACATGTATCATATGAGAGCATCCATGAAAAAATTCTCCTTCCTTGATACGATTGAAAACAACAGTCCACTTTGAATTATATCCTATCCGATATCCATTTTGAAGGTCTACAGATTACAACTATTGTATCAGACTTAATTTGTTGGGCAAGAAACTTCATTCAAATGTCCAATGTTGGAAAGTGTTAAAAGTTACTCTTTTTAACTGATATTTGACCAGAACAGTTACAGTTTCTATCAAAACAAATATATTTGAAATCAACATGGAGGACGGAATCGATCTATGTATGTCACAAAGTGATCTATCAACTTTCCTTTTCCTTCAACATTCCAGCTCTCCAATTCTGCTCATGATTACCTCGAAAAATAAAGTCAGTCGGCAAATCAGTTTGCCTATAAAAAGTTAGAATTTTTGGATGAAAATAAAATATGTCGCAGGATTTTGTAATGCATATAGATCGACGCAATGTCTAATGCTAATTCAAAAATATATCATTTTTTAAATAAAAAACCTCATTATTGTGACCAAAATGCGTCAACTATCAATCAAAAAGATCAACTTTTGGCACTCGTGAACGCTGTGCATTTAACTAAAACATGTCACAGCTCAATAGGAGGAAATTTTTGCCATGGCTATCCTCATACTACATGTAAGAATGGACAACGTCATCTAAAAGAACAAGAAGATCGATAATATTGAGTTTTGAGTCAGTCGCGTGCAGTCGAAATAAAGTCTAACGGTCTAATTCGAATAACAATTGTTTCCTAACTGTCTGAATTGACTATTGAAGAAATAATAAGGTCAATTTTGGGAGAAGTCTGATTTCATTGTTTAATGGCATTTTTATTTTCTTGTTGAAGTTTATCGAGATATTGTTGTCGTTTTTCTACTTCTGGATGTTGAGATCCGAATGCATCTGTAGCAATATTGACAGCTTTCTCAGCATGTCCAATAGCTTCATCATATCGATGAAGATCTTCTAATACTATGGCTAATTTTCCATGAGTGACAATTAATGATGGATGCTTAGGTGGTAAAGATTTTTGTTGAATTTGAAGCGTTTTATCATAGAATGATAATGCCGTCGAATAATCACCCATTTTTCGATGTATTAAACCAATGTTACTATAAGTACTTGCTAATGATGGATGATGAGGTGGAAGATGTGTAAGTTTAATATCTAATGCTTGTTCATAACTTTTGAGTGCCTCACCATATTTTCCCTGATCATCAAGTACCGAACCAATATTATTATGATCAATAGCAATTTCTAATTGATTAGGTTTCGGAGCAGCAAGATCAATCATAAGGACAAGTTGATAAAATTTCAATGCTCTAATAGAATCACCTAATTTTTTAAGAATTCCACCAATATTCGAATATATACTAGAGAGTCGAGGATCAATATCGGACATATATGTTCGACTAATGTTAACGGATTCTTCATAATGAGAAAATGCTTCTTTTAATTCACCTTTTTGTTTCCAAATATATCCCAATTGATTATGTAGAAAAGCATTTTCTGCTTTGTCATTAGAATCAACATTTTTGAGTAATACATTATAAATCTCTAAAGCTTTGTCAAATTTCCCCATCTTAATCATTAATTGACCTAGTTGACGCCATCCACTTCCATCACCAAGTGATATTCGCATATGATCAGTAAGACGTTTGAGTAATGGATCTCTATCATCTGTCAATGTCAAATTAACTTTCCATAGATGATCATCGATTTCTTCTACGATACCGATTCGAAAGACACTTGACATTGAAAAAAGAATTTCTTCTTCTAAAGGACAATCACTTAGGTTGCTAATTGGAGTAAAAGGAACAGATGAAATTGATGGATCAATTTTTATTTCAAATAGAATAGCTGTCTTTTTGGAATCATGTTGATTTGAACTAGCAAATCTTTTGGCAATAGTTATTGCAGTTGTTGTCGAGAGGAAATAATTAAAAGACAATAGACCATCCTTTGTTTTCCTTAATTTTTCAAAATCTTCATTGAACATACCTTGACCTCGATATAGAGTAGTCGGAATTTCATTAATATCTAATTTTAAATGAAGTTGTTTGATTTGCTCATGAAGATCTCGTATAAAAAATGCCATTTTAATAATAGTTTCAATTTCCATAGTTCTTAAAGCCTTATTAAGCATATGATAAAGAAAACATTCTAGAGTGTACCACCAAATTGGTGTTTGTTGACTATAATTGTCTTGGAATTCAATAATTCTTCTTCTCTCGTCTTCATCTTTATCATAAATTGGACGACAATAATTAGTAAGTTGTTGTATGTCAATCTTACGATCGTATTTCATTTTGAAAACAATTTCTTTCAATAATTGAAAATACATAAATGATGGATCGAGTTCATTCAAATTAGTACTAGATGATGTCGAAATAATACTAATTGGTAATAAATCATGATTTAATTGATGAATTTCTTTTTTTAGTTCATTGCAAAGAAGTTTCATTTGAGTAAAAATACCTTTTCCTTTTTTATATGCTTGAATAATTTCATTAGATTTTAATATTCGATTACAGAATATATAGATCGAATTGAGTTGAGTAAATTTTTCTTCGAATGAAGCAATCTCTTTAATAAAACAATCAGAAATAATTAAAAAGACTTTTTCATTTTTGATTTGTTCAAGAAATTTAATACATTGATTAATATCAGTTAAAGTTTCTATAGTATTAACAATAGATCGAAGTTGATTAATTAATTTTTCATTTTCTTCTTTCGAAAAATCGAGATTTGGATCTAACCAAATAATAATATAATTTTCAATAATATCTTGTGGATATTTAATTGAAGTAGTCTTGACTATTGATTGTTCTTGAGATTGAATAGTTTTAACTGAAGATTGAATGTTAACTGGTTTGGACATTGTACTTGTTTGTTTTGATGATGTTGTCGTGCTTAATTTTGTATTCTTCTGTGCCATTGTTTATCTATTCAAATAAATAATCTTTTTAGAATATAAATTTATTTTATTAATTTTAACTCACTTTGTTTTCCTTAGGAAATACGATGAGTGCGATGAAAGCAATAAAACAAAATCTTTTATATTTAGATCTATAATTAAATATTTTTTCTTATTAAAATTATCAAATTTACAAGTTATTAATTTTTCTTTTTAACTTATTTCAATATATCTCGCAGGACAACATAGATGCTAAATCTTTAATATCCAGGTCAATGATTTTGGCACCTAGATCTGTGAATTTTCGACAGGAAAATACCAGAAAGTTCTCGAATTTTCCGGCTAATTTTCTGTTCGTTCGGAAAGAAAATGACTGTTTGTCATCGGAAAAATCTGAAGACTTTCCGATCTGGAATACTACTTCCATGCTCTACGGGTTTCCGATGTTTTTCTGCCAGTTTCAGTGAAATCCGACTGTTTCCGAAATCTGAAACCATAGACACGGGATGGTAGAAACTTCGATGGAAGAATTCAGTGGTCAGATTTTTCCGGTCGTAACCGATAAGAGCCGACCATCGAATTCCTGCTAACAAATTCTTACCATTTTCCAGAGCTTTCCAGCTGGAAACCGCCCATATTTCTTGACCTAGGTACTTAGGGTATACCAAAAGTTCTGGTCACGGTGTTTGAAAGATCTTTTTCGATCATGGAATCTATTGAGAAATGAAACAGCAAATATCCAATGTTGTATAGAGCTTTTTGAGGCACGTCGAGTAGTATATAGTAAATCTTGTGTTCATAAGACTTTGAAGGATCTAGAGTCAATTTACTGATAGACGACTACACACTTACACCTACACTCATCCGTACCTACACTGGCAAGATGACCGAAGATACTACATATAGGAAGTTGTAGCCCATCAAAAACTTTACAAAATCGTATGTGAGAAAAAATATTTAAAAAATACTTTCAACTAACGCCAGGGACCACAATATTCAGAAACTTATTATGCTTGTATGTGAATGTATAGTTGTCTATCAGTAAATTGACTCTAGTTCCTTTAAAGTCTTATAAAAACAAGATTTACTATATACTATTCGACGCGCCCCAAAAAGCTCTACAATATGGTTTATCTGGCTTTGCATTTCTTAATAGGTTCTCTTATCCGAAAAGATTCTTTAAACGCCGTGATCAGAACTTTTGGTATCTCCTAAGTATATTATATTCCAAAAGATTCTTTTCAATAAATCATTCTATTTGAATTGAACTTCTTTTAATTTTCTTGTAAAAACTTGTAGATTCGAAAGTATTTATTCTTCGGATGATGGAAAAATAAAACGGTTTGAACATTGGTTCTACGAAATTAAACTTTAAATCTAAACATACAAATTATAATAAGTTCGACTAATAGTATTGATTGGTATAAAGACAAAAAAATAAAAATAAAATGAATATGCTTGTAGTTACAATAGTTATTTTTTATTGATTCTTTCATTTACTTCATTGATTTCGTCAATTAATTGAGCAAACATTATATTAAATTCATATTTTGTAAAATCAATATATTTTTTATTGTCAATAATTTTTTCTAACCATCCTGTTGGGTCATATTGATGATCGATTTTTACTGGAATAATTGGTCGTTCTCGTTTCTTAGCATATTCAGCTTCTAATCGACATGCATATGAATTTCGATACTTAGATGAAAAACACATAAGAATAATAGATGATTTTTCAATTGCTTCTGCCATAATTCTTGGATTAGAACAATGTAAATTATCTTTATCAAATAAAATTCGATAAAAATCTGATGCTATTAAACGATTATAAATTTTCAAACAGATTTCTTTATCATCTGGATAATAACTTATCATAAGATCAAATTTTTCTGAAGTTTTATGATCAGTTAAATTAAAATGATGATCACCTCGAACATATTGATAAACAGCTTGTTTTTCATCAAAAATTTTTTTTATTTTTATTTGATTTTGTTTTTTTTGTTTTTCTTGTTTGGACATAAATTCAACTTCTTTTTCGACTTTCCATAAAATACGCTTAGCTATTGCTCTTTGATATTTGTCATTATTATTGGATAAATCTTTAACATGATCCATTAGATCATCATTTTCTTTTATCTGTTTTACAGCTGAATCATTTACAAATGAAACTGCATCAATAATTCGAAGAGCTGGAATTTGAATTGTTTCGATATCTAGATTTTCTTCATATGCACATCTTGCTAATAATGGTATACCATCATCATCATTAACAATTTCCTCTTTAACATCATCATTTTGAACAATTGCTGCAATTAAACAAAAATATCATTTGTTAAGCGCTCTCCATTAGAGTTACGCCATATTAGATTGAGTTTCGAACAATAATCAACTTTATCTTATAGGAATACGACAGCTTAGTAAAAGTTCAGATCTGATGAACTGTATTGTTGAAACAAAACAATTCTTGAAACTGAACTATCAGAGCAACATTGATTCTAATTTTTGCGAAGGTAGTTCCGGTTTTGAAAATCTTTGTTCTGTTATACAAACGCTGTCCCAAAACAAAATAAATTTCTTTAGACAGTTCAATTACATATGAACTAAATTTTAGCAATACTTCAATAGCTCATTTGATCTGAGTTCATGAGCTGGAACTATCTTAAGACTACTCTCTCATGAGAACATTTTATCAAATGAAACATTCATTTTGAAATAGGCTTTATCTTTTCAAGTAGCTTCTTACTAAATATACAAAAAGTCTGAAAGAATTTGTGTCCATGAGCCTTTCATCTTTACTTATAATTATTTTAGTAAATTCTATCCACAAAATGCTCTGATCTCTGTGAGAATACTTCCAACATTGACTTTCGATCTCAAATTTTGCATACAGCAAGTTCTCAATGGGAGGCCTGTCCGATTTCTTACATTCGGGTATTTAAGTATAAGAGCAAAGACAAATATAGGATTTTCACTACAGAACGGAATAGTTGTAGGCTTGTAGAAAACTACTTCCTCTATGCAATGGTGTGTGTATTTATCAATTTCTGTTGAGCTGTCAATAAGTGGCCCTACTTTTACCGCGACCACTTAGAACGTGACAAATGAGTTGCCATCTATCGGAATGTCAACATTACGCAGCTGACTTAATCATACATACACCTTTATATAGAAGAAGTCTTTCTCTACAAGCATTTACAGATCCTGTTTCGTAGTCAAAGTCATATTGTCGCCTTTGGTCTGATATAGTAACATGAATGTTGCTTCCGCCGCATCGTCACTTTTTCACCTACCTATACTCGTATCACGCGTCGCTTGAGTGCGACTACCGCTGGGCAGCAAGTGTCGCGGGAGTATCTTTCATGCAATCGTCTGATTTTTATATTTCTGTATGGTAGATATTAGAAAACTTGATAGTTTCAAAATGAACTATAAACAATCGATATACAGTAGAATGCAAAAGTCCTTGCCCCTTGTGTGGACTACCCTTCTGAAATCAGATCTCGAGAAGTTTTCTTAAAGTTTTTTAAGTAAGTTTATCAAAAGTAAGATCAGACCAAAATGTATCTATTTAAAATGAAAATCATCGGAAATGACCTTCAGCTAGAGAGAGAATGCTTTCACGATGAAACCTCACTTCGTCAAAAACCGAAGGGAAATCTCATTTACAGTATTGACATGATTGACAGTGAAAATCTTATCAAAAAGACTATCCGCAGAAAGCTCTTCGTTCGAACTGTATAAAAATTTCTTCAGCTGACTGAGAACAATGAGGTTTATAGGGCTGAAAAAGTACATTAACCTAAAAAAGGATGAAATCGTCAAATTGACACTGCGCGAAGTCGATGTTAATTCTATAAAAACCGTCTAATCCATCATAAAACCTCATGTTGAGAAGAGAAACGATCAAAGCTACGTTATTTCGACAAATTTTCTCGTGAGATACGTGAGAAAACTAGCTGAATTACCCTAAATGATTTTATCAAGTTGGTAAAAACTAGGTATTTGGGTGTGGGCCACTCAAAGAGAAGTCGAATCAAAGAATTATTTTGTAAGTGTTGAAGCTTGAATTAAGCCCTGTCTATGAGTATAATTTATTATTATAGCTGACATATTCATGCAGAGAGATACGTGCAACATTAAGGGCAAAAACTTTTGCACTCTACTGTATATATATATATTTATATGAAAATACTGAAAATGATGGATACTGAGCAATATTATCATGGACTTTTTGGGAACTTTACTAGTCTCTTTATAACCAGTGCTTTTTCATCAAAAGATTAACAAAACTATTAAGTCTTCGAAGTATTAGAGGATATTGACCAAAAATTGTCAAAATTTGCGTTTCTGAATAATTTTTTATGCTCTTGCAAACTAGCAAATTCATTTTCACAAACTAAAATTTCTCGGCAATTCATTTGAATGATAATCTCATGCACACTCTCTTAATATTTTTTTTTATTATTAATTCAAACTAATATTCATATTCAGACAAAAAGATTTTTCAAAATAATAAAATCATACCTTCAAGATTGGTTAACACACCATCTAATTTAATTCCATGATATGTAAGTGTTACATCGTCAATTGTATTTTTAATAAGATATAAATAAGATCGTGCTATTATCGATGGATTATTTATTTTATCAATATCTTCTTTATTCAAAATCGCAGCTAGTGTTCGAGCTGCGAATTGTATTGTTTTGTCTCTTGCTTTGTATAATGGTTTACAAATATCTATTACTTTTTTATCTTTTAAATCATAAAAGATTTTCTTCTCAAATGTTAAGTTATATAACACAGTTATTGAATATGACATAAGAGCAACATCAGGATGAAATAATTCAATATTTTCACTAACACTTTTTATTAACGATTTTTCTTTTAAGATGTTAATTACTTGATCTATTACCGTTCTACCGGCATCGAATTCTGAAACAAAAAAAAGAAACGAAATATTAAAACACATACAATAGGTGCTAACATACCTAAATGAAGACTACAAATTATATTTTATCAACAAAAAAAAAGCTTCAGTTTAATTTCAAGCAGATTGAAAATAGGAAACTGGACAAAAATATAAGTATTGTTGAGAATATTTTCCTCATACGTAGTGGAAATTATGGAAATATCCGAGAATTATTTGACAGCAAATATCTACTGAAGGTACTTTTACTAAGTATTGCATTGGATACGGGTGTAGCCGTGGGTTGGGATCTTTTCTCATTTTCCAATCAAAATATAGATTCTTCTTCGTTGGATATTTCGCGTTTATCATACATTCCATTTTTCTAGTACAGTTTCAATATTCAGCAGAAATCAGATTTTATTTTATTCAGTCTATGACAATGATTTAAGATAACAAAGGATGCATTAAGCAATCATAGAATAACGAGTCAACGGTACAAGTAATATTGTTGATGCTTTATGTTATATTCTTCAATAGAATTGTAGGTGACTTGTTTTTGTATCATCTTTTCTCCAATATTCTATTATTTATAGAGAGAGTATAACAGCTAAATGAAAAAGTGACAATGACAAAATGGACACAGAAGATGAGCCTGTGTAAGAGTCACCTGTATTCAGTTACTCCTGTATGTCGTGACTCTTTCTATTATTAGTGCCGACCAATTATCGATGTTATTAATAGGCAATTCGATGTTATCCTTATTATCTGATAAATTAAAAGGACGAACTGTGGTTCCATTTTATTTCGATCACAGAACTTGATAAAATATATGAGATGTATTTTAATGAATATTGACTTAATATAAACTATCTACTCCATGGTCTTCCATAGAAATTGTCATGGATATCAGTACAACTAGTTTAATCCACAAAAATAAACACTTCTACGATCTATTATCGCAAATAAATGAACAAAAAATAAGCAAAAAGATAGAAAAAATCTAGACCGATCGATCTGGAAAAAGTCGTTTCTGCCATCCAGTAAGAAATTCTAGAGTGGATCGGATCGACTGATTGCAACACTGCTGAAGATCTCTGATACGTAAATGTCTCTATTTGGATTTCTTCGTTGCATTTTCTTGTCTTTTGTTTTCCGAGATCGATGCTAGCCTAGTTTCTCTTCTACTTTTGTTTCTCTTTATCAACCAATGGATCATCTTTTCTATAGTTGAATTTTCTGTTGATTATATTGTATTTCGTTTTTATATGAAGAAATATACAAAAGCCGATTTACTCAGACAAAGATGGATCCCTATAGTATGCATTTAATAAATGCTCTTCAATTTTAATTGTAGACAGAGATATCCTAAGTTGGTAGCCAGAATTGGGAAGGGTCGATTGCAAGGTTTTTTCTAAATTTAATCGGATTTTGTGGATTGGTGGGGAAAAAACACAATAAAAGGCTAGAGATCTCCTATGAAAAACGAAAATTTTTCAAGATTGTAGGAGGCTCGCCTCTCAACTCCATCCTCGCCGCTCAGAACATCCCTACTCATAGAAAAAACAGATACTTTGAAAATTTTTATTTCCTCTATTTGCGTCTTTGTTCATGATCCTTTAAATTTGATCTCAGTCATAGGTTACCTGTGAAAGTTAATAGACACTTTATTATCTCTTTATATATCTTATCTAAATTATATGTGATTCTCAGAAATCCCTATCAAAGACTTCGATTAATCGTTTGGTGAATCTATCAGAATAAGCGGGCGTAGAAGCAGCTGGAAAAAGCAAGAATTCAAAAGTGCGTACTCCATCTGCACTCCGAATTTCTTTGTGTAGAATAGATGGAATCTTGTTTTTTCCCATTGAGCTGAAAACAATGATAGAATCAAGAATTTCATAAAGGACATTGTTTATAAAGCATGTATGAAAATGAAAGTAGATTGATGACTTTTAGAATACTATGGGTTCGTTCTAATTCAATACGAACATGTTGTAGACTAGACAAGATAAATTTCAAGATTTGGAAAAGTCTAATAAATTCAAATATCAATGAATATGAATGATAGTTCTTCTATGAATCAAAGAATGAAATATATTTGAACTTACTTCTGATAAAAAACTCTCTTGTTGTCGGAGTTAAAGCAATATGATTTAATAATTCAACATACCAAGCGATCGATTGATTTAATGTAACTTCACTTTCTGAAACACTCGATGAATATTTTTCAAAAATATCATCATGATATTTTATTATTGATTTCGATAATGTATTGGATATGTCATCCTGTTGTTTGTAACTACATAAACGAATAAATTTTGGACATGTATACATAAAGAATGATTGCTGTGGATTTAATATATGTTGGCTAAGATTAATAGTTTTATATAAATTTGTATAAATTTTTGATTCTAAACATTTAACAATAGAATCAAGAATTAATCTTTTATCAATATCATTTAACTTTATAAAAATATGAAGTAAACGATCAATAATTTTATATTTAATATGATATGATTCATAATTATTAATAACTATATCATTTTCTATAAGTCTTACAAATTTTTTAATAAATAATTCTGTAAAAAATATTTTTTCATATGATAGTAATTTAAATATTTCTTTATTATCTGGATTCAATTTTTCATTATTATCAATATAAAAATTTGTTGATATTTTATTTTTATATAAACATAAATTTCTTATTAATAAACTAATTCCATCAATACATTGTTCATCTTGTTTTGTTAAAGAAACAAAAGTTAATTTGGTGAATAACATTTGAAATGTTTTATTGAGTATAAGAAAAAATTTATGATTTATTATTTCGGGATCATTAAAAAAATTTAAAGTAGTAAATCTTGCCATTTCATAACAAATTACAGATAAAATATGAAGACCATCAGTTTCATTATGTATTGTATGATTTAAAAATAAGACAATTTCATTGAATAGTTCTTTTACATCTTTTGATGGTTCACCTTTACGAAGTTGACGAATGACAGATTGATGACGTTCAAGTAATAAATCCATTTTAAGAAAAAAATACAAAATTAAGTTTTTTTATCTAAAAAAAACTAATATAAAAATTGAAGACGAATATTATTGTTGGGAAAAACAAATGAATCAAGGATTAAATAAGAGGATAAGATACAACGTAAAAAGTAATAAATGAAGTAATTACTATAGAATGAGGTTGACTACTAATATACTAATTCGAATGAATAATGCATTTCTTAATTATTTCAAAATCTAAAAAGTTATGAATTTATTAAATGAATCTCGAGATGTAAAGAAGAAATAATTAGTTCTTTTAGGTATATCGTGTGATTTAATTTCTTTCTATTATTTCATCACAATCTACAACAGACAGGTATGCTTGTCATGATTTTGTGGTTAAATCAGACGATTTCATTGTAGAATTCAGCTCGTATTTAATAAAACTCAGAATTGAACATTTATATAGAATCATTCTAGATCCTAATATAGAGATTTCACCTATAGAGTTCAGTATCAGATATTCTTCGGATATAAATAAGGATGCAATAGGTTTCATAATGGAGAAATTAATTCGATCGATTGTTTATTGATTCATTAGTGTTTTGTACAAAAGTCTTTTATAGATAAAAATAAATGTCTTTTTCTACTTAACCTTTGTTTTACCATTCATGATTGTTTTTTCGCTTGTGCTGCACAAAACTCTTGCCATTTAATCGTATTTGATAGTTTTATTTGAATAAATTCTTGTTGCCATGATGGATACCGTTTTTTTGTCCAAAGTTCATTATTTGGATCATCTAATGCATTAAGTTCTTTTATTTCTTTTTTTGTTTTGAGTTCTGTTCCGATTTTTCCTTGTATATCGTTCGATGTCCTTTTAATTTTACCTTTTTCAATATCTTCTATTAGTTGTACTGATTGATCGAGAAAACGTTGCCAAACATCTGAAGATTGTTTTAATTTTTTCAATTGTTTTCCAGAACATCTTCTTTCATATTCTCGTCTAAGTTCTCTGTCTTTAGTAATATCCCAAGCAACAGTACCTTTTTGAAGATCTGTATTAAAACGTGGATGACGTACAGCATTAGTATTTGTTGAATCTGCATCTACTTGTTCTTTCTCATCCTTCTTTGAATGTTCTTTTTTTTTATCTCTATCATCTTGAAAGCCTTTACTAACAAGTCGTTGAAAATAATTATGCGCTTCATCATTATTGAACCATGGACCAACTATTAAGTCTGAATCATTAGAATAAAGATCATATGAAGAATGATCAGAATCATTCGAATAAAGATCAGACGAAGAATTATCAGAATCATTTTGACTCGCGTTTGCTACCCACCATGAAGTCTTGTTTTCCAAAGGCATTCGAAATATAGCATCGTTAAAATCACCCGTTAACGTAAATGGTGGTAAATTACCTTTGATGACAGGACCATTTGATGCTTTTTCTAACCAACGTTGTGCACTTGATACAACAGCGCTCAAATATTCTAGAGTATTGATAGGCTCTTTTGAAAAAAGATTAAAAGAAGGTATATTTAGATTGACTTCTTGTGATATTAATCTATGGCGAAGTTCTAATACTTTAGTAGTAGATGAGCAAGTAAATGTCAATATGTATAAGATATATGTAATTACCCTAGTAAAAGTATGTAGCTTATGGTACTCGAACGGATACCTTATTATCAGTGTATCACAAATGTAGGGTATCCGATGGCTGTTTGATTAATTAATAGTGAGATACTTCTAACTGCTCAAATAACAAATCTGTAGAAAAATTTTCAATACAGACCGTCGAACCAAGGCATATACAAAGTCCGAGTATCTCGGGTTTGGTTAGAGTCTTTTAGGCTCTGGTTGAGCTCAAGTCCGATGGAGCCTGAGTCTGGTCGTGCCATAGTCGACCCAAGCCGAAGCCTGATGGAGTCCAAGCCTGATCGAGCTCGATGGAGCCCGAGATTTCATGTATTGAGATAATTTCCATTAGGATACACGACCAAATGCCAGTAATATTCTAGTATAATAGGGTACTTTTTCGAGTTCGTTACTATAATTATCTCACGAAGGAACAGTCTCAATCGATACTTCCCGTTCAACTTTATATTTTTCCTATAAATAGGACTCTGTAAGAGTACAAAAGACCTAAAAGAATTCTTCTAGAATCACGACTGTTTTATTGAGATTTCGATTTGTTGCAAGGTATTTATGGAAAATCAAATGAATGAGTTTTGACCTGAAATTTTTCTAATAAATAGATATGATAGCCGCTAGAACGTTGTCAAAATTTCAGCCAAAATAAATACTTTTCTCTTGAACTACTCAACATTCAAAATACGATCGTATTTCACAAAAAGAATAACAAAATCAGCTTCTATTTAAGATTTTTTTTCACAGAAACTTTAAAAAACATTCTATTGACTGTCGAACCTATATTATAAGAAAAAGTTCAGGTAGAAATTCTTTCACTTGATTTTTCTACATTTAATTCACCAGAGATCAAAATTCTAGTAACACTTCCATAATTTCGAAAAGAAGGCTAAATGGGATGAATCCTTTTAGGTTACTTCTAGAAAATATGAAGTTAAACGAAAAAGATCAGTTGGGAATATTACCTTGACAATCAATGGATATCTTAATTGCACTACTTGTGCAAGCGTAATAATGGCGATTGATAGTTCATCAAATAACTCGTTTCAGATAAAATACTAATTCTGTCTAGAACTACGATTTTCTAAAAAAAAACTCTTGGGAATTCTCTGAGTATTAATAGTCAGCTCGAAAAGTTAGAGTCATTTTCATCAATGACAATATTTTGTGATGTATGTCAATGGAATCAAATTATGTAAGTAATTCTAATCTATCTTATTGTTTCATTAAACTTCTAAACAGTAGACATTTTCTTTTAGATAAATTAATATCACATAGATATTAGTAAGTATTTGATTTCAATGATTTTATCATCGTATATTTCGTGTTACTAACCTCCTTTATGTTTGTTCTGATAATTTTCTTCATTTTGAGAAAGTTGGGCTTCTTGTTTCTCGTTTTGTTGATTGTTTTTCTCTTCGTTTTGATGAGCGTGCTCTTCTTCTTCTTCTTCTTCTTTTACTTCGACTTGTTCTATGCCTTGAATAGATTCTTCTGATTTTTGTTCTTCTACTAATATCGAATCTTTAGCGTTTTCACAATCTTCAATAACATTTTTTAAAGAGTTGATTAAATCTGTTAATTCATCTTCTGAAATTTTATCTTTTTCTAAAATTTGTTCAATTTGTTTTTTATAAATTTGTTCTTTTTCTCGAATTTCTTCTTGTGTAAAATGTGAAAACATATTTGATTGATCAATGTTGTCTTCTTCTTGTTCTTCTTTATTTATAGTAGTATCAGACATTGGATTAGTTCGATCAACTGCGCCAGGTTTTGTATAATGTAACTATGAATATAAATACTTTGTTCAATTCATCAACATGCATATTATGAGAATAGAATTAACTATTCGATATAGAAAGTGATTCGCAATGACTGGATTCTGTGAGTTCTGAACTTTTGAGACTCAAAAAAAGTGCAATATTCAGCACGAGACCTACGGACCTTACGGGTGTGGATGTAGATTTTGGCTCTCTCTATACCAACAACGGCGATTATATTTGAACACTCACGGAAAAGATTGTTAAGTATAATTATCATCTCTTGTGGATATTTCGAATTATGGATGTGAGACACCGTTGCAATTATTTCAAACTTGTGAATAAGCAAAGCATGATTATGTTAATTTCGTTTAAAATTCTAGGAGTGATCTGTTATCTAAATATCAACAAAATCTTGAGTTCTTAGGATTGTGCTTCAGCTGTTGGAGTTCCATTGGTTCTGTGAGTGAAATTGCACTTTTGAGAGTATTCCATGAGTTCAGAACTCATAAAATAATATAGGTGAAACTCTGAATTCAATCGGAATGTTTATGCTCTCTATTGAAACTAAGCGATTGTTAAGTAAACATAATTATTCGTTTAGTACGATCTTCAATCTGCGAAATTACTTTTTAGTTTCTGAAAAGTTATTTAGCGAAAATAATGGTAGAAACTGCATTTCATTTACAGTTCATCTATAGCCAATTGTTTCCGTTACCAGATATATGCTATAATTCTAAGTAGGATAGTCAAAGGATTGAAGTTCTTTCTTTTTTGTACGTCAAAAAAAACCAATCCTTACTAATTCTATTAAGAATTTATCATAATCCAAAGCTAAATTTTCATTTAATTTAAATTTTATTTCTTCTTGAAATGATTCATAATATAATTCTTTTGTGTGAACGATTTGAAACCAATCATCTTCATGTTTTAATGAAGTTTTTGTTAACATAATTGGTATATATTTCTTTCCAGATGATTTTATAGTATTCAATGCTATCATACAAGTAGCATTTTCGGAATAATTAAAACTAAAACAAATAACAATCAAATCTGTTTTATCAAATTTTGATCCAATATTAGAATGTGTCTGATCAGAATAATCAATTGTTACTAGATAACCTTCATCAATTAAACGATTAGCGAGATGACGTAACAAAATTTTATCATTCGAACAACAATTTAATATAATATTGAAAGAATCAGAAGTATTATTCAATATTTGAGTTGAAGATGTAGATAATACTTGATCAGATTCTAATATTTGAGTATAGACTAATAATTTTTGTCGTTCAATTTCTGACATTAATTCATATTTTTGTTTTACTTGATTAACAGAAGAGATTGAACCAATTAAATTTAAACATTGTTGTTGAGTAGTTTGTTTATTAATTTGATAAATCTTTGGTAAAACACAATTTTCAAGACAATATTTATAATATGTATTGATCATATGTTGATTCCATATTTCAGGATTGAATGGATGATTTAATTCGATTGTTGTAAGAACATTCTTTTTCATATAATCATTTATGGATTTTTCACATTTGGATATATTTGAATTTCCTGATGCTTTGAGAGTTATTGAAGTCGCTAGATTAAATAAAAAAAAGAAATCATTAA